TTTTGATTTGTTCTACATTGTATTGATTGTAACTCTTCATGAGTTGTCGGATGACTGTAAGATTGATTATAAACGAGTACCCAATCTTTAGATATTGGTTGATGTTGATATATTTTATATTCTGTATATTTTATATTCTTACAGTTCTGATTCGACAGCAGTTTTACTTCGAGTTGATATCCGTTCGAGTTGTAACCAATATCCATTGGTGTTGATGGAGGAGTTGTTGCTCTGGAGAATAAACCTTGCCCATTAATATTTGACATAAAGACAGTCAATATCAGAGAAAAGCCGAAAAACACTATTAATACGATTTACTGTTTGAAGTTATGCTGACATGTGACGTTCCTATTTTGATTCAATATTGCCTTCAAGTAAAATCAATTCCCAGGTGCTTAATGAATTTCTTTGAGATTAAACGGTAGTGTTTAGTTACAAAATTATTGCTGTTCTTGCAAAGAAGTAATCTGCTCAGAGTGCCGTCATAATACGGATACAGAATGTATTCACTCAACACACATCACCAACAGCAACAAGAGAGACCACTCGAAACAGCACTCACTCTGTATCCGTATTCACAACTATCTATATGTATTTATGAATTCCTGGGATTCTGCGATTTTATCCTGTAGTCTGTATCCGTATTGACATATATCTATGTATTTCTGACTTCTTGGGATTCTAGGATTTTATTCTGAAGTCTGTATCCGTATAGACTTGTATCTCTATGTATTTATGAATTCTTGGAATTCTGACAGTTTATTCTGTAGTCTCTATCGGTATTCACTCTGTATCCGTATAGACATGTATCTATGCATTTATGAATTCTTGGTGTTCTAGGACGAAGTGTCTTTGTTAGTCCGAAGTGTCTTCGTATTCACTCTGTATCCGTATTGACATATATCTATGTATTTCTGAACTCTTGGCATCCAGGGATTTTACCCTGCAGTCTGTAGCCGTATTCCGGCTTGTCCAAACGTAAGGGCGTTACGTTTCGGACGCGCTAAAATGGAATTATTTCGGAAATTCATTTAAACGCCATTCGATGCAGCTCGTCGACCCCTATTTACGCTATAAAAATGAAATTTTTTCGATGAAGTCTCGAATTTGAGAACGGTTATTGTACTTCATTCATCAACTCGAAGTAATAATATGGAAACATCTGGTCATTCTAAGAAAAATGATATGCTAAATGTTTATTGCTCGAACAAAACGGACAAAAATATAAGAGAGTTATAGACAAAATACTGAGGATAGTACTTTTTCCAACTATCCCGATGGGACTCATTTCGTAAATTCTGTAACTCCGTCAAAATAAGTCAGAAGAGGCAAAAAGCTTTTTCACAGTCCCAGATTCGATTGTAGAATTCAAATATAAAATAATAACCAGAAGTTAATTTTTTGCTCATGACTGCTTTTCTCGGCTGGCAAAATGGGAGGCTTTTTCATTACTTTTCGTTAATTAATTTGGCTATCAAAACACATTTTCCCCGATTTCGTTGCATCTTGCATCGTATTATGTTCGAATAATTCGTCGTGTTTTAATATATATGTTTTTGATTGTTTTCGTCTGAATAAAATCAATTTGATAATAGTTCTGAAACGCCAGTATCGCCAAAAGAAATATGACTCATTTTATTAACCTGGTCAATTCTAATACGTATTTTTATCCTCATGGATACAAATTCGTGATACTTCATTGAAAATCAGTTTTTCCAAATAGGACTCAATGTACTAGTTGAGAAAAAAAATTAGTTTTGTATGACAATTTTCTAATATCAATTGGATTCATACATGGAAAAATCGACATGTGTCCTCTGACATAAATTACCCGTTCAATTGTCTTGATATAGTTTTCGTCGATCAGTTACATTGAGGAGAATCTTTCACATTTTTTCTTATTGCTGCCACTTACAGATGCAAATCTGCCTGTTTGACTGTCACTTGTTTCTACCTGACAAACATAATTCTCGTGTAAAAACCCTGCTTTTTATTGCATGAACATTAGATTTCCTTATGAATTTGTTCTTGTCGCGATGTATCGCTTCTAAATCACTCGTTTAATCTATTGTACCCGGTTCCTTTTGTTCGAATTGCTATCTTAAATACAAGGATTGATGTGATTCCCATCATTGCGATTCTTCAGTAGACCTCTCTTCACTTAATTTCATTTTTTTCCAACTTCGTTTGACGGTTAATTCCGCGCCATTAGTGCAGCGATTCATTTCACAACCTAACTTAGTTCATTGTCTAGCTTTCATTTTCAAGTAAAACCAGATCTCTGATACTTTTCGATTTATTATACTCTCTCAAACATTGTTGTGCGAACTTTTCATGTCAATAGCATGAAGCACTTGATTGACGCCTGCTTGTTTCAGATACTGAAACTAACAAACTTCAGTTATGTGCACAATAAATATAAATCCACAGTTTTCTTTGTAAGATCCTTGATTTTGCAAAAGAGAAAACTATCTATTTGCCAGTCTCATGAAATACTTAGCGACGACGAAAAATTCGTCTGAAAATTTAAGCAGACTGCACACACTGAGGAGATGCGAATACTTCTGTGATCCATCTAGTTGTATAGAAGTCAACCAAATGTCTTTATTTCACAACTTTCATCTATGCTTTGGGTTAACATACATTGACTAAAAGCAGAGCAAATACTTTTTGATTGTACCAAATCATAGGTATGCCAGTTAAGAACTGGTGTTGGGGCATCCAGGAGAATTGCTATACATCGGTTATCAAGATTCTCTTAGGCTGCGGAACATCATTCTTTTAGCCTAGAATGGATCTCACTGCGGCCGAAACAAGTCAAATGTACCAGATCCGGATCCTATCTGACAATCAATTGAATGTTTCGTATGTAAGTTTACTTAGTAGTGCGCGTTGGGGCCTATATCTCGCTGATAAACCGATACAGACAACTCGAAATTCTCTAGAAATGAGACTGATCAGAAAGTAATTTCGACTGAAAAAACTTTGATACTACAAATGGATTTCTAATTAAACAATTCTCTGACGGTCTACGGATCACGCTCAGCGTCATATTCGGAATTGGCATGATCATTGAGGATCTTCCCTCGGGGAGTTGATGTTTAGGACTGTCTATGCCTATGCCTGAGAGACTGTTAGTTGGGTCTAAGACTCAGGTGCCACGAATCTGCCATAGTAAAAATCAAGTTATAGAAACAATGGCTTTTTCGGTATTATGAAAAAGTTTTCTCGATCGTTGCTTTTTTTATTGTTTCTGTTTAGTTTTAATAGTCAAAATACAGCACAGTCAATAAAACTTTTTGATCAACAACCACATCAACAATCAGGAGCAGTTGTTGTAACAACAGCTGTTCGTCAATACTCTCAGCAAATAATAAAACGTGGTAAACAACAAAAATATTCCACCACCTATATCTCAAGTAGATACGACAGTTAGAACAGATTATGAAACAAAAATTGATTGTACAGTAACAGATGCAATGAAAGAGATAATGGCACGATTGGGTTCAACGCATATTGATGTAGATGAACATATTAAAAAACAACAAAGACGAATAGCCAATGAAACAAATTTGGTTATTCAACATATAATAACTGAGTAGCATAATGAACAAAGCCGTTTATGAAAACACATTAATAACAAACAAAATACAGTTGAAGAATGGTGTCAGCGGAAAGTAGAACAAAAAATTGAAAAATTAGATAAAGAAAAGCGTCAACGATTAGATAATTTACACGAGGACTTAAATAAATGCAAAGAAGATATAATAAAAAGTTCAGAACATAAATTGGGGGCTTTGAATCACCGAGTACAACAAACAAAATTGTTTATTTTTCAACAAGCTCTAGAAGCAGCTAATATTAAAATGAATAAATTACACAAAGAAGTACAAGATGTTTCAGTTGATGATCGACTACATCAAATGCAGAGTACAGTTGATACAAATATAAAAACTAATAGTAAAACATCTGGATGAAACAATTGATCGTATACAAATAGGGCAAATGACCGTTTGGAGGAAATTTTTAAAAATGTTATTTTTTAGCGTATTGTTTTGGAGCTTTTACCCAAACAGAAGTTTTCTATGGTCAGGGTAGTTTGCAGAGCTAGGACGAAAGTGTTTGTACTTGTACTTTTAGTACTTTTTCAAGTAAAAGTATTATACTTGTATAATACTTGATACTTGTACTTATACTTTAATAAAAGTATTTGCTACTTATGCTTGTACTTCGAATTAAATACTTTTGTACTTAAACTTCAATTACGAAACAATGTCGTTGTTTGTAATTGAAGTTATTTTTAAACGCAGACGTGATTTCATTACTCGATGAAAATACAGACATGAAACTGTACACCTTATATGAATTTTCTATGTATTCGGTACGATTTTACAAAGTTTACTCCTTCATTAAGGATATTTTTCGTACATTACATTTCATTTGAATATTTCGACAAGAAGTACATATCAGTAAAAAATGTCAAGCACGACTAGTTGTAAAAAATTTACATATTGAAATAATCATATGCAACTAATATGCATTTGACTTCCATGCAGGTCTAAAATATATTCGAAAATCTGTCAACAAGATATCACGTTACAATTCTTCCAATCAATATTTGGAAAATAGTACGGACAACTCGAAAAAGCAGCAAAACAATGATGTGTCGTGAACCATAAATCACGGATATGAATTCACTTGAAATTATCTTAGTGTCATCAGAAACTATATTTGACTATGACATTAAACCGAACCA